GATTAAATTCACGTGTCGTCCGCTCGAGAAGTGAGCGCTCAATGCCTTCTTTCCTATTGGAATTTTCAGGCATTTGGCAAAAGGAGAAAAAAAACCAACCACCAATGCACAAAAAAAAAGGACGAGAGGAGCAGCCCACAGGCGCTCACGTGTGTCTGCGCCCAGCATGGAATCTACTCTATATATATATTTATATATATATATACATATATATATATCATATTTTTGCTGCGGAAATTATTTTTGTATTTTAACCCCAAATGGGTTTGACTTCTATTTATGAAGAAGGCGAAGAAGCAGCTGAAGGAGACGGCGACATGTGAATGATGATTCAATTATCCACGTTTGTGTGTGTGTGTGTGTGTGTGTGTGTGTGTGGGTGTGTGTGAGTGTGCGTGTGTGGACGCCCGCGTGGGGAGTCTCAAGTGAGTTTCTTTATTTTTTCGATGAAAAGTCACGTCGTATCAATTTGCGGCACAATTGCCATTTAATAGGCACTTGAATTGTGAGATATGAATAAAAAAATGAAAGGTCGCATGTGTCGGCAATTTACAGTTAACTTTCGACCCACACTCAAACGCACAGTGATTATTTCAGGCTAAAACAAACTTATAAATAACCCATAAGGGTTGCCCATAGCTGGCATCCAGCTGAATATGTTGGTATCTAATCTGTTCTGAAGCTCGTTAGTTGGGTTCTGATGTACATCAAAAAGCTAACCTCAAAATATTGTTGAGGTTAGGTTGGGTTAAATCAATCGACAGGGTGTTCACGGTGTTCGTTAAACGCAACAAACAAAAGCGAAAGCTCATTATTTGATCTCAATTGGATATGATATACGAAAATATTGCATTCCACATTGAATTTTGGGGTTAGCTAAGGTTTTTTCACATTAACCTCAAAATATTGTTGAGGTTAGGTAAGGATCTACCATATTAATTAAACAACCTGTTGTCTTGGTCTCACTCGATTAAGATAGTCTCTGGCACTAACTGTTACCGAAAGTATTAAATATATTGTATATATTGAGAAGACGAGCTTCAAAAAAGTAAGGTTAGGTTCGGCTAGATTCCATTTAATCACCCTGTGAGGAAAAATGCTTATGAACCATGTTTGTTTCTTAAAATAAAGCGAGAAAAATTGTGTGTTTCAGAGAAGTAATTATTGATACAATATATAAACATTAACTAGAAACCTAAAAAAAAGAATAATTAAGAATATAATAGGATTAGTAAAAATGGAATAGCATAAATCAGGATTAGGAGGAATAGCTACGTTTTAAGGAGATAAGTAAAGTTTACAGGGGATAAGGACTTAATTTTTAAAAGCAAACTTTAAATTTAAAAGCGATAAATACATTTTAGGGGGATAAGTTAGTATAATAAGGTTTAAGCTAGGTTGAAAATAAAAGCCATGATTAAAGTTTCCAATTCCAAGGGATAAGTTCAGATTTAAAGTCCAAGCTGGGCTTCGAATAGATAAGTTAAGCTAAGAGCGACACTTGCCTTCAAAGCTAACCGCAATTACTTTTCCATAAATTTTTGATTAGGCGCCGCAAAGTATGCAGCGAGAAGAGGAAGAGCTGATCAAAAAGCACTCGACATAACCTCAAATTGAGCTCGTTTTAACTTTGGCTCCTTGCATATTTCTTAATTGTCTCGCATTACTTCTGCTGCGCAGCGGCCAATTAGCCGGCACTTTACATGCACCAAACCACCCAACCACCCAACCACCCACCCAGCCACACTTTTGATGTTGTGCGTGTGTGTGTGTGTGTGTGTGTGCGTGTGTGTGTGTGTGACAAACCGCTGACAACTGGCCGCGGGCATTTAAATCTCACACCTCGCCTCAATTAGAAACGACAACAAAACTTTTAGCAACAAATTGAGAGGGCGAATGGCTCGACGAGGGCAGTGGGGTGGGGGGACGGGGACGGGGTCGGGGGCTTAAGGGGGGGTGTGTGCATTCAGTTAGAAAACCAGAACGGCTTGAGGCAATAATTTAATTTTTGCTGTTGTTCTTGTTGTTGTTTTTAGTCGTAACTCGCGCTCGAGCAATTTGTCACGTACAACAACTTTGATTGTTTAGCCCCCGTATGAACCACAACAACAACAACAACAACAACAGCAACAACAACAGCAACAACAATGCAAAACAATAAATAAAAGGCAAGTCAGTCAAGACTAACAGATACCCTGTAGCTAGCTAACCGCAAAAAGTATGCCCATGTGCCCATTTGTTGATGATTCTTTTCTGGCTGCTTTGCCAATTCAGCCATTTTTTTGGCTAAAACTGGCTAGTATCATTTGCAACAGTTACATTTTTAATCTGAATTCGGCTTTTTTTTTAAAGCTATTTTTAACATTAGATTTAGATACTTTTTTTTAAAGTAGCAGCTGGTCACACTGCTGAAATGAAATCCAAAAATTCTTATCGGATAGAAAATATGGTTTTTTTCTATTATTTCCTTAAGAACTTTTAATATCTATATAGAACTTAACCTAAATCCGCAGCTAACAATTCTAATAATTGCGAAACAGCTTCAGCAAGTTCAACTTGCCCTGCGTATCTCAAGTCCAGGGTATCATATAGCCGCAGGTGCACTCTCATTTGTATGACTTATACTTTTTAGTGTGTGTGTGTGTGTGTGTGTGTGTGTTTGTTTGGGGTTGTCCTCTAATTATGCATGACATTAAATAAAGTTTAGCTCAACAATTACAACTATTTAGTAGCTAATTGCTCTAAACATGTGTGTGTGTGTCTGTGTGTGTGTGAGTGTGTTGTGATTCATGAGTATTCAAGATCCAAGCGCTGAAAGCACCATAAGGACTTGAACTCAAAAGCAACATTCGTTATTAAGCAGAAACTAGGTCAATCTTTTAAGCACGATTAGAAGCTTTAAATCCAATCAGAGCTCAAATAAAATGAACCCAATTGGGAGCATAATTTTTTCCAAAAGATCGAAAATCCTTTCAATTTAATCACTCAAAAATGAGCCAGATACAGATTTGCTTATTTCTCTATAAAATAAACATGAATAAATGTTGTATGTGGGTTTTGTTGATTGAATTTTGAAACTTTTCGAAATTCATAAAACAGTAAAATAAGAGCTAATCGAAAGGCAGAGCCATTTTTAAGGTCTACACAAATTTACAAGTACTAAAGTACTCATTTTTACAAAGTATTTATTCCTTGAACCATTTACTCGCAAATTGTTTTACGGTCAACTTATGTATAAGATGGAATCAGGTGGAATACACCTGTTCATAAGTCTGAAAGAATGTATTAATCATTTATCCATTTACTCGCAAATTATTTTTCGGCTTGCTCAACTCTAACATGCTGTTCCTAAGTCCTTTAAATAAAATTAAAAAATTTTGGGAAATGTTTAATTTTGAAACATAACCTAAAAGCAAACCGTAAAGTTAACCTAACCTACAAATTCAAATTAACAATTGGCCTAAATTAATCCATAATAACGACTCTTCTATAAAGTGTAGCATTCTTTAAGAAGAGACCTCTATATAAAGCACTCAGTTACTGTTAAGGAAATCGGAAAATTGAATCTGAAATGATTTCCATTAACCAATCGCTGCTTACCGGAATCCGTTTGTCGACGATTGATTAGGTCACCCAGAAGATCGCGTATTAGAAACGATTTCGAACTTTGCATTTTTATGGTTTATGCACTTTTAACACACGCAAATTGAATACAAATTTTCAACAGTTAAAACAAATTTACAGCAATGCAGCTAACATTGCGTTCGGATAGATCCTTGGGTAGATCCTAGCACTTGGCACAGACCAAAAAATTAAACAAAAAAAAAAACAATTTAACAGCCTGAGAAACCAGCACAGAAGATATTGTTAAACGCGTTTAGTTATTTCCGTCGGCAGGTGGAGCTGGAGCCAACCTATTGAATATACTGCATATTTGTGTAGTTCTATGAAATTTCAGTTTAATTAAATTTCTGGCAACGCTGGCAGCTGAACCGTTAAGCGCAAAGTCAAATGAACAACTGAGATGCGAACGTTTATTAATCCTTTTAGCGTAGCGCAAGGCTCACACAGACACACATACACACACACACACACACACACACACACACATACATACACGCGCGCGCCCAGAGAGACTAGGAAAAAAGTGAATTACACGATTTGTTGCTGTAAACGGGACAGTTTAGCGTGCACAGCCGGCAGTCGCAGCGCCCAAAAGTCGGCAATGGCAGCCGCCCAACCACCAGACCGCTCGCCCCCGCCCCCCCAGCCAGCCTGACATCCTACATGTTAACATCTCATTTAGCTGTGATTTAATCAGTCATCAGTGCTGCCATCCCGCTCGCACACAGCGACAAGTCCTACTTCCGCTACGCGTTAGCCATTTTGTTTTTACAATACAGCGCAACGGCTGTGCACACAGCTAGCGCCAGCTCGCTCGCACACTGGACTGCGACGACCGCTGATTGGTCAACGGTCTGGCGACAGCAACAGCCCTGTGCATTTGCCAAACATCCCTGTCGCAGCCATCCAGCAGCCAGATGCTTGCGCTCAGGTGGCAGCCTTGCATTCAGCCAGTGTTGCCTGCCGTGAAATTAACGTCCGCATCGCTAAAGCCGTTGCCGTCGGTGTTTTGAAATTTGGTTTGTCGACGTGTTTGCACTGCCTGAACATAGCTTTTGCCGACGGCTGTATTGGCCACCTTTTTTGGTGAGTTCCTGGAGGCTGGAGAAAATATAACAGCTTTTGATCACTTAATATTAATCTGTTAAAACCTCGCTTGTACGATTTTTTTTTTTTAGTTTTACAGTTTTAGCTGAGAGATATCTGGTTTAAATCAGAACTTTTAACAGCTTTCCATTAATCTATCTACTCAAATTTAGTGCAAATTTATATGTAAGAAGATATTTGTTTCTATTATATCGAGAACTTGCTTTTATTTTACCCATCAGCAGAAAAAGAACTGATCATAATTTGCTTTTTAAGCTTAAAAAAAAAACTCCAAGTGAAATATTGTGTGTATTATACCAAAATTTCAATTATAATATGCGATTTTTTACTATTTTACTATATACACAATATTGCATAGGCTATTAAATATAAAAAATAAGTGGGGTTAGGCCTAAAAGCTACAGTTACTAAAAGGGTTGCCACATTGCGCAATTGCCAGACTATTAAGAAAGCATTGCTCAATTGGAGTTCTATTTGGCGAAATGAATCAGAAGGGTTTCATAACATTTCCATAGAAACTCATTGGCTCGACACAATAATTCCAATGATAGAAAACTTGTTGGTTGTAAAACGAGAATCTCACATTTCCAGCGAGTGTAAACTATGGAAGTGAAGTGTGGTTAGAAAGAATCAGTTGAATGTTTACAAAATATACATATGTATATATATATCTAAATATATAAAGGGGGGGGCATGTATTAAATGCCTAGTCTTAGTTTAGGAAGGGGCGTACATAGAACTATAAATATAGTTTCCAATTACATGTCATGCGATCGACCGAGCCCGTCGTAGCCGGTGCATCAAGTGTGTCCATTTGCCGTTGGCGGCGGCTCCGAATGGAAATCGTTAAGTACGGTAATGACAGCGCCCAGCAAATGTATGGAGCCGGTTATCAGGACATCCAGCTGAATGTTGTAGGGATAGCGCGTACGGATCGCAACGAATGCATCCCAGACCGTATTATACATTTGTCCATGATTCGGCTGCTGCTGGGAATCGCATAGCTGCTGCCAGGTGGCGGCTATGCTTTGGGCGCGCTGACGCTGCGCCTCGGGGCTGCAGTGGAGGTTCGCCTGGTTGGGATCGTTGGGCTTGGCGGTCGCCAAATTGGGCACAAAGCAGATCATATCAAAGGCGCACGTCTGCTGCAGCACATGCAGTATGGCCTTTGTATCCGAATCTCCCGTGCGATTGAATACCAAAATATTTGGATTGCGACTGAAAAAGAAAACCCAAAATGAATTAGCTGCAAGCTGGCATCGATGTGCCTTTGGCAAGACTTACCTGTGCCTGATGCTCTTCCGGTACCAGTCGCAGCAGACCCGTATGCTCTCCACGGTGTGCGCCCCATCCAAGTGGACACGCATATTCTGATACTCGACCAGCTGGCAGCGTCCGGGCCAATTGGCCGCGTTCAGGCCGCGCAGGACCTCGCTGGTTATGTGCCGCTCGTTGATCGGATAATCGTGATGCAGTCGACCCGTCGTCTGGCGCAGCCAATCGTACGACAACTGTATGGCCAGCGAGGCATTCAGGCGTACATACTCATTGAAGTTATCCGCATTTTGTAGATAGGCGTCCGTGCTGGGCACCTGAAACACCTGGGCCTTGCGCTCGGCGGCACGCTCATAGATCACCTGCAAGCATTCCGGCTGTGTTACGTGCGTATAGACATGGGCGCCCGGCTTTATGATGCCCGCCTTCTGCCAGGCAATCTGGCGGAGCGTGTTGCCCAACAGGGCCGTATGCTCCAGGGCCAGCGATGTGATGCCCGCCGTGCGCACATTCCGCAATATGTTCGTGCAGTCCAGCTCACCGCCGAGGCCCACCTCGAGCACAACGACATCCACACGCTCCGCAATGAACACATGGAAGCCGACAATGGTCAGGAACATAAAGAATGCCGGCATATCCTTTTCATGTTCGCGCTGCACCAGCATACGATTGTAAACGAGCCAAAAGTATTTGGTGAACTTGTCCTTGGCCAGCGGATCCCCATTGATCCGGATCCGCTCATTCGTCGTCGCCAGATGCGGCGAACTGAAGAATCCCGTCCGTGCGCCATATTGTCGCAATATCGACTCGGTCAGCGCACACGTAGAGCCCTACAAAAACAATATATATACTATATATACTACATACATATATATGCACATATACTATATGCAAACTCGCAATCAGCGATACGAAAGCTCAGTCCGATTTCCACACACAATTCATACAATTCACACTTATCAGTAATCAGTCGATAGAGTCAAAGGTAAACCGAGCGCTGCGTCTACACTGAGCGAAATCGACTATAAACAATCAACTGGCATAAATATAAACAAACAAACTGAACTAAAGATCCATTAAACGGAAAGGAAGAGAGGCTCGAATTTCTATTTAAATATATATATATATATGTATATATGTAATCTACAAGGAAAGAATCTGATGATATAAATATATTTATGTATATATATATCTCGAACGGAAAGGATTAAAGACACGAATTTCGAACATTTTCGGTTCTTCTTAGTCTCTGTTCAAAAGGTAAGTACTTTTCAACTTTTGGCGATATATAAGTTATATACGAGGAAAGCATATAAAGAATATATCTTTTACACGGGAAAGATTAGGGATTCGAATTTCAGACATTTCATATTCCATTATCTATTCAAAAAGCAGGTATTGATCTTTTGGTGATATATAAGTAATATACAAAGAAATAGTTTGTATATATGTATATATATATGTTTTGTTTGCATTGAATGGGGTAGATTAGAGGTTCGAGTACCAGGTATTAATCTTTTGTGAAGAATCTGTACATATATTTATATATATATGTATACATATTAAATAAAGAGATATTCCTAGTTTCTATTCTATTTAAATATATCTTAAGTGCACAAAAGAGAATTTTATTAAAGTATTACTAGACTCGGAGTATTAGAGGTTCGAATCCAAGGCGTAAATATGCATATGATTCACAGCTGAAATCTTTATTAGCCCAAGCTATTCATACCTATTATCCAATATTACGCTTCAATCTTTTGTAATATCTTTTGTTATCTATAAAAAAAAAAAAAAACTTTAGATTTATTTAACGAGAAGGTTAGCAGCTCGAATCTATTCATACTTTTTATTGTAAATGACGTATCCCCAGATTTTGAAATATCTTTTATCTTGAACAAACTTAGGTTTATTAAAAGGGAAGGTCGAGAGCTCCACTCCCAGTCTACAATAGGCAGGGGCATTATAAACTCCAGGTATTTACAGTTTTTTTTTCATTTGTTAGCTATCGATAGTTATCGATCTTAAGTAAGCTATATAATGCAATGAGAAATGTAAAATTTCGGATTGCCTAATTGATTTACTTTTTCTGAGAATATTCAAAATGAAATCAAAAACAATATATATATGCATCAAATATTTGTAATTTATACCTCATATTTTCTAGCATTTTTCCGATATATTAATAAAGAACTTTCCGTAATCCCATTATAAATACATCTCTAAACAATTAGTTTTGGGCTTTATATTCATAAAAAGTAGATTTCTTTGCAAACTATTCTCTCAGTGTATCTATATGTTTAATAAACTTGATTTTAGCTGGGCTATGTCTAAATATTCGTTAAAAAGGCGCAAGGCCATAATATCTATAATGTGCTCAGTATATTTATAATATTATGCGAATATTAAAAATATTATTTATTATTATTATTTCTGGGTAAAATTAAGAAAAATAACAGATAACTAGGTTTACTTTCCGCTTAAAGAATGAACTTCAATTAAAAGTTTTACTCAACTTTCTTTAAAAACTGCTTGTAAAAACCTAAATATGTGTACATAAGAAGCAGAATACATATATATATATATATATATATATATATATTTATGTGTTCAATTCAATATTTTCGAATACGTAATAAACGAGTTGTTAGCTACTTCGAAGATTCTTTGATCAAAACGATTTCGGTTGAAAATAAACCTGTTTTGGGCTTCACACGTCGTTCTACGAAATATTATAACGCGTTTTCAATCTGTCACAATTATTGTTTGTCGTGTATTGTCAATTGTTTATGTTTGTGCCATTTATAATGCTCCAATTGGTGTTAATTATCAGTTATTCGCTCGTTAGCAGGTACAAATTAAAAATTACAATAAAAATACCTACCTTGCCCTTGGTGCCGGCCACATGGATCACCGACAGCTGCTCCACGTCGTCCAATGTTAGTCCGCTGCGCTCCAGATACTTGAGGGTGTGCACCAGCGAGTTCAACTTTTTGTCGGAAATGGAGTTGCGTATGCTGTCGCCGTTGCCCTGTAGCTTTGTCAGCGTTTCAATGGCTGTCTAAAATCACAAATTGTTTTTTCACTGATCAAAATCCACATTTCTGACAAACTACCTAGAAACCCGCCCCCACCCGCTCGCCCGCCAAACGCATTAGTAGATGACTCACATTGTAGTCTGCATCCTCACGTGCAATACTGTTGGCATCCTGATCGTTGGGCATAGCTGGGCGTCCGACCGGATAGAATACCAGATCCGCAAAAGGCTGTTTCCTTTCATCGTCGTGCCTCTTTGGCCAGCCATTGCTGTCGGCAGTTGGCTTCAGGGTCTTGGGCATGGGCGGCCCCGAGGCAACTCCACGCACCTTAATCTCGTTCATTCGTCTGGTACTGTACGCCTTTCGGACATCTAGGCAGCGTGTGGTGACTTTATATACTGATCGCAGTTGTTTGCGCATGATAATATTTATACCGATCGCTTTTCAACGCTCTCTCACGAATTCGAGTAGGGAGTGTGGTGAGCCCGAGCTCTGCTGGGTTGTTCGCTAGAGGTAGAAAAAAAAAAAAGAAAAACAAAACAAACAAAAAAAAAACAACATTAGTAGGTAAATTGAATTGAATTATTTATAATATAAATAAAGGAAGTGCGTGTGCGGGCACCAGGTGATAAGATAGTCAATTTTTACCATAAAACGAGCATGCAACGATGACATACATATTTCCATGCATATATAAATACGTATCAAATTTGAACATACAACACAACAGGAAAAAAAGAAACTCAAAAAGATAACGGTAATTAGATAAAGCGCGCGCGCGCGCGCGCTCTCTTGCAACGAGTTCTAGTTCGTTTAGGTTATCGAAACGAGCGATTACGATAAATGCACGATAAATAATTAGATGGCAACTTCGCAATGCTTACACAATAGACGCACATGTACTGATTGGCTCGCGCACTGAACATACTCACGCACACACGAACACAGACACACACAGGCGCACACACGCGCATCGTTTATTATATTTACAGTTCTGCTATTAACAGCGAATTTAACAGAAATAGCTATGAAATATGTGAAATGCAGCCGTTAACTGAAACGCGCTTCCAATGGCGTCCACAATTGGGACTGTGGCGCCGACGTCACCAAAGGATGCCACCGGTTAAATCACAAACAAAATACATGTATAAATTGTACACAGAGTATGGCCGAAAAAGAAACCGCGTTGGGACTGGCGCACGTTTGCGTCCGTCCGTGTGTGAATGGCAAAACAAAAGCGCCAAGCAAAATGAAAAAAAAAAAATGTGACAATTTAGAGGCAGCTGTTGCTGTTATGTGTATGTATATAAATGTGTGTGTGTGTGTGTGTGTGTGTGCATGTGTGTGTGTGAAACAACATTACAAATACAAGCATGACTGAAACGAGCAGTCAAGCTGCCAGGCATGTGCATTAAATAAAATAATTACTAATTTATTATTTAATATGATTTTCTGATTTATTTTCACCCTTGCAGCCGGCCCTCGCGTCTGGGCAATTGCGAGGTGTGCGCCAGCCAAGCGGCCCGCTACGCCTGCCCCAAGTGCGAGGTGAAGACCTGCTGTGTGGCATGCGTGCAGATCCACAAGCGGGAACTGAACTGCGATGGCAAACGGGATCGCACCAAGTTCATGCCCATCAGCGCCATGACCGAACGTGAGTTCATGAGCGACTATTGCTTTCTCGAGGAATGCACGCGCTATACGGAGGATCGCAAACAGGATCAGATCAAGCGCTATACGCAACAGCAGCGACAGCTGCCGGTGTCGCAGCATCGACTGCGCAAGGCGGCCCAGGAGCGGGGCACACGCCTGCAGCTGCTGCTGCCCAACTTCAGTCGGCACAAGGAGAACACGACGTATTTGAATTGGAAGCAGCGACGCATCTACTGGCACATCGAATGGCTGTTCGTGCATTCTACAAGCAGCACGTTGACACGTTTTGTGGACAAACACTGCGACGAGGAGCGTACACTGGCCGATCTGCTGAGCAAGTACCTCGATCTGTTGCAGGCGGAGGCGGTCGAGCAGCGCAAGGTGTTGCAACACCATCAGACAGCCGGCATTGGGCAGCTCAGCATTTGGCTGCGTGCGGAGGGTGTGCAGCGCAGCGGTCAGCGCTGCTATCGACTGGCCGCACATCAGACACTGCGCGCCAATCTTGCGGGCAAGACAATTGTTGAGTTTCCTGCCATTTACATTAGCTACGAGGCTCGTCCGCCCGCCGGCTATGACCTCATTGACAGCGGTAAGCGGCACAGTCCACATCCAGCACATTAACTATAACTTACTACCTTTGCAGATGAGGAAGTGGAGGCTGCCAAGTCCAGCAACAAGCGCAGCCAGCAGCCACAGTACTTGGAAGCGCAACCCACAGCCAAGTGCAGCAAGGCAGCAGCAAAGTTAACGCAGCAGCCCGAGGTGCACGATATTTATGGGCTGGCAGGCAGTTTCGGCGCGGACGACAACTCCGCCTCCAGTACCAGCAGCAGCGATGAGCTGGAGGCGCAACTTAATCGAGCTTCAGCAAATACTGCGAATTAAATTTAAGAAAATACTTCAAAACAATAGATGTAAGCTGTTAAATTAAAGCAAGGCTTTGCCATAGTTGAACCCAAGTTAAGTTGTAAGAGAACTCTGACAAGAATTCATGCGCTATTTCCTGAGGCAACACTTAATATCGAAGTGTCAAAGATATCAATCGCCTAAAAAAGTTCGTAATTTGTGAGTTTGGCTAAAACTAAATCACATTGCGATATTTTAAATACTTTAAATAAAATAGACTACAATTTGTGAATACAACATTGCAACCGAAGAAAATATATTGGTTAATAAAAAAATGTAATTACTTTATATAAAATTGAGTAAAACGCGATGAAGCATGGTTCGAGGCAAAGCCCCAAGATGAGGCATTCCCTGAACCCATCGTAAGTGGGTAAAAAAAAGTATACAGATTCGAGCACGCAGATTAAAGCATTACCGATTCCATAAAATATATATCCTTCTAAGCAACATCAATAGCCGAGTCAATCTTAGAGATCATAAGAGCAGGAGACTTAATACCATGAAATCGATAAAAATCTAGCTCGAAATCAAGTTTTTGACCATAACTCGTAGCTTATAAGAGCTAAAGACAAAAAACTGATATATAGATAGACTCTCGTGTAGTATGGTATTAAGAATATTTCACTTTTTGAATACTTTCGCTTGTGCGTTCAGGGTATCTTCCAGTCGGGCACTCCAAACTAACTTGTTGTCGATAAATGGATTGATTTGGTATTTAGATTCGAGTTACAATAGATATAACTTGAAACATGTGAACTAAAGTTAGATCTTAAGCATCTTAGGGATAGATGTTATGTTTGTATGGAAACTATCTTGCGCTAACTCAACTGTCTCTCGCTTTTTGCAAACACAACAATTCAATTTGTTTACCATTGCTTTATTTATTTCGGTTTTTTTTTTTAGGCTAATTAAATGATAAGAATTATACCACACGCTCTCGTTATCGTTTCATTCTAAATGGGTGGAGGAGGGGGGAAAAAAAACGTCAGTTACAGACCAAATTATCAACGCCGCATATATGTATCTGTATAGGCATAATCATATATCATCTCTGTGTATGCTTAATTTGTGTACAATTCGTTTTACTTTTTGGGGCAGAATTTGTAAAATGCCTGCCATAGATTTAACGCAATTAGCTCAACTAACGTTAACAATTAAATTTCGATATACCAATTAGTTGCTTTTGTACATAATACATAAGTGCAAGTGCTAGTGCTAGTGCACAATATACATATATAGCTCTATTAAATGTATGTCAATATAATATTTCATTTTGTAATGTTTTATATCGATTTTTTATTTTTTGCCTGCACCAGTTGTTGTTTTATGTTTTTAAGCTAAATAAAAATTAAATTAACGCGTAAAAAAAATAATAATAATAATAAACACATAGACACAACTCTAACAAAATTAACATTGTTTTGTTTTTGCTATTTTTCTTCTTTTTTTTTCAAATGCATTACAAAGAAAACATTGAAACATTGGAATATTTATGTGAATATTTGTGATTGTATGCACAACAAAAATCAACACAGAATAGATACATCGAAAGTACATCGACAATTGAGAAACGAAGAACTATTTTTGCTTTCAACTTTTCTTTTTGTTTAATTAACTATGTGTATAAATATATATTTTTGGTGTTTAAACCAATTTTCCAACTTTTCTTTTTCAACTTATCTTTGCTGTTTATCCAGCATACGTACATGCGTTTGCTCTTTCTTTTCACAGACTAATCGAAGATTATTAAATAATAATAATATATATATATATTTAATGTAAATCAAAAACAATATTATTGTAAATTGCCTGTCTTTATGAAATATACAACTAAAAACGATGCAACATGGAAAAAAAAAAAACATTGTTGAACTAAAAACTTGTTGCTTTAATCATATCGGGGTTGTTGCGCATGGGTTTTTGGGGGATTATAGGGGCTGATCGTTTATATAGGAGAAGACAAAATTTACATATACATATATTTTACTAATCATACATAAATTTGTTATCAATTTCGCTAAACGCGCACATTTACAAATACAGTTTGAACAGAGAGAGATAGAAAAAAAAAATATATATATATATAACGAAAAATAGTAACAACAACGAAACACACGCAGAGGAGCTGCCCAACATGTTTTGCAGCAGCATGCAATAATTAATAGAAAGTAGCACTTGTTGTTGTTGTTGTTGTTATTGTGACTGTTGTAGTTGTCGTTGTCGTTGTCCGCTCACGTTGTTGTCGCTTGAGTGTTGTTTGCCTAAGTTGTTGCTGCTGTTGCTGTTGATGTTGATGTTGATTGTTGCGGTCGTTGTGCGCGCCACGTAGTTATGTTAAGTTTACGTATTAGATGAAATGCTGAAAATAGAAAATACATAACTATATGTACATATATTTAAAACAAACGACATTCAAAGCACGCACATTCGCTACTCCTATTGGGGCTGCTGCTGCTGCTGCTGTGTGGGCACTGCGCCAGGCACAAAGAAGCCGCCCTGCGGCACGGCCACCGGTGCCATAATGGGCGCCAGCACAGTCTGTGGCGCTGAGGTCATGGGCGCGCCCGATGGATTAAATACATCAACATAGGAGTTCTTCAGCGCTGCAATTGAGAATGATTGTGTTCAGTCATATGTTGCAGTGCATCAGCATTGGCTAAACCTACTGCGATTGCGTTTAATTTTGAACATGTTCGATTGAAGTTTGGGCTGTGCGCCGCCGGGCGGCGTTACTGCTGCTGCTCCCGCTGGGGCAAGACCAGGCGATGGCGATGCTGCTGGTGCTGGTGCTGGTGCAGGTGCTGGTATCGCAGCTGATGGTGCCGCATAGCTGGGATAGTCATACTCCATCTGATTCTCATAGACATTATTGGCGTTTGGCAGCTCATGAGCATTTTGCTGTGGCAACAGATTGGGCGTGGCAACTGGCGTGGGTATGGTGCCCAATGTATTGAGTGCTGGTGGCGCCGATGCTGCTGGCATACCCATGCCCATATCGCTCATCTTTGGTGGCGGCTTAAATGATTCCGTTTCATCGGGAGTGCCCTCGGTATTGGTCCAGCATTTGCGCTCCTTATCCCACACAATTGTCGGATTCTTGTCATCCGGTAATATCATTTGATTTTTCGGCTTTAGCGAAAACTTGTTCCACAGGCCACCAAACCAGCCGGCATTCTGATTGCCCGGCGCGCTATTGACCAACAAAAATGATGAGAGATTATTTCTGGCCAGTTATGGGAATGGGGGCGAACTTACCCGGGCAAACCGCCAGCGCCGGATTGTTGCTGTTGCTGCTTGCCCGCCGTTGAGGCTGCGCTTCCGGACGTTGCATGGCCAGCTAAGGATGCAGCACCAGTTGTGGCAGCTCCATCGTCGTCGTCGTAATTCTTTGATTTTGGCATCGAAATCGTGGGTCGCATTTGTTGCTGCTATTGGTCATGTTTGTTGTCGTTGTTTTTTTTTTTTGTATTTTTTTTTTGTATTTTTTTTTGCGTTTGATTTTTGATTTTGGTTTTTTTTTGTATTTTTATTCAAGTGCGTGTGGTTTTGGTTTTTCAGACATGAAAATTTCAAATTGTCGGTTGGGGGCGGGATTTGGAGAAATGGCAGTTGATTAGTTTCGGTTATTGGCAAACGAAAAGCAAAGAAATTAGTTATAGTGCATAAAACACACATACATAAAAGTATATACATATGCATACATATATAGATAGATAGTTGTTAGTGTTGGCAAATACATAAAAAGAAAATATTGCTGTTGGTTTAACTGGCGCAGTCAAAAACATATGTATCTTAAATCAAATATCAACTGGTAAATTCAGCAGGCTCGCTCTTCGATTGCATTTAAACATAGCTTAAGCTTACATTTTTTATGTTTGGTTTTGCATTGCTTTGGTTTTGTTTTTATATATGTATGTAAGTATATGCATATTGCCTAAACATTATTATGCATACAAAATCACAGAGTGCCATTTTACAGTTAATTTACAGTTGTATATTGCAGGTACATAAAAGCGAGATAGAGATAGAGATAGTAGAAGCTCCGACCTGCTCTAATCGAAACAAGCGACGTGCGCCGCACATTTTACAACACTCTCATTTGCAGCTGCCGCTGCTGCTGCTGCTGCTGCTGATGCTGTAATCTGGCAACGCTGCGCACGTTGCTTTCACAAGAAAATAGGGAAAAAACAACAACTGTTAATGACATGTTAATCTAAATCTGTTTCTTAGTGCTAAGAGCCAAGCCGGCGGCGCTGCTGCCATTGCCATTGCCATTGCCATTGCCATTCCCATCGGTGGGTGCATCAATATCATATGTTCGCACCACGCCAGGTGTTGTGCCTTTTGTTGTTGTTTTCGTTGTTGTTGTTGTTGTTTGACCTTTGGCATCCAGATACGCTTCAAATTTGCTCAAGCTCTGCTCCACCTCAGTGCACATTTTCTTATAGTTGATCGGTATGTCCGGATTGGCGATTAGCTCCTGCATGGACCAAACGTTTTGCGGCGTTGTCGCCGGCTGTTGCTGTTGCTGCTGCTGCTGCTGTTGCTGCTGCTGTTGCTGCTGCTGCTGTTGCTGCTGTTGCTGCTGCGGGTGCGGCTGCGGGTGCGGCTGCTGGATGATGCCCAATTTGCTGAGAAAATTATTGTTCTGCTGCAGCACATAATAATCATCGTATTCATCATATGCATCGTCGTCGTAGGCATCTTCATCGTCGTCATCGTCATCGTAGTCATCCTCCTCGGCTAGCTCCTCGCCCTCGGCATCCTCATCGATGACATAGTCATGCATCATATATCGATAGCGCTGCATTTCACTGCGATCCGCATTCGCCTCGGCATCGTAGCTGCTGCGATGATGTGACGCCAGCGGCGCCGGCGGCGTTGCGCCCAGCGGCATATCGATGGGATAGGTGCCATTGAATATAATATGCGGCTTGCAGATGCTGCTCCCTCTGCTGCTGGGCTTGCACAGGCTGTACTTGTTGTGGCTTTGGCCGGGTCGTGCCAATGCTAGGCTGTAGCTGATATCGCTATCGTTATCGTTATCGATTTCACACTCCTGCTCTGCCACCTCATCGATTGTCGAGGGCAGGTCAAAATTGACGCGCTTAACACCGCCTGTTGCTGCTGTCGCTGCTGCTGCTGCTGTGGCTGTGGCTGCTGCTGTTGCCATTGTTGTTGCTGTTGCTGTTGTTGTTGCTGTGGCTAGGCTGGCTGCAGGCTTGGCTAACACCGGCTTGGCTGGTATGAAGCGTGTGGGCGTGGTTAGGGTTTTGGGCACAGCATTGATTAAATTGTTGCACTTTTTAAAACTATTCACGCGACTAGCGATAGCTGTTAATTTTGCATAATTGTTTCTGCTGTTGCTGATGTTGTTGCTGCTGCTGTTGCTGCTGCTGTTGCTGCTGTGGTTACTGCAGCTGCTGCCGCTGTTGCTGGTAGCATTATGATGTTTATTTATGGCTATAATGCTACTTACATCATTCAAATTAAATGCCTTCGTTGTGGTTGCCGTTGCTGTCGCTGTAAATTCCGCTATATTGCTGCCGATGCTGCTCTTGTCGCTGTTGTTGCTGCTGTTGCTGTTGTTGCTGTTAGCAAATTGCAGTTTTCGTGGAAATTGTTTGCTTTTGTCCTTGTCTTGGCCTGTGTAGTGCATTTGCTTGCCATTGCTAGCAGCGGGCAGCTTGAAGGCATTGTGTTTAAAGCGATTGTTGCCGTTGTCCATGTTGCTGCTGGGCGCACTTGGCTCTAGCAGCTGCAATTGTTCCTCTTGTTGCAGCTGTTGTTGTTGTTGTTGTTGTTGCTGCTGCTGTGTTTGCTCAGCTTCTGCTGCAGCTGCAGCTGCTTCTTCTGCTTCAGCTGATGTTGCTATTGCATTGTTGTTGTTCTTGTTTAGATTGTTGCTGCTGTCATCAGCAATCAACTCGTTGCTCTCCATTTGCGCCAGCTGCATTCCAGGTGTGTTTGTGTGTGCGTGCGTGTGTATGTGTGTGATTAGATTAGACGTTAGCAACATATTGCCTTAATTTACATGCAACGCGTTTAGCAATTGTCACTTCTCTTTAGCCATAACAAAGATAACAAAAAGATCACAAAAATAATACTACAATAAATCATATGCTTAACTACAACTATAGCAAAGTCAACATAAATACGATAAATTAAATATGCATATAAATCAATAAATACACAAGAGGTACAAATGTAAAACCAAAGAGTGGCCTCTGAGCAAGTTTTAACTAAACGCGACCTGAGCGACTGCAGCTGCAACAGTTGCTGTTGCCGTTGCCATTGCACCACCTACCTCATCGCCATACGGCTGCTGTGCACCGCTGGGCCAATAGTCGTAGCCAGTTGCTGGTTGCTGGGCGCCGTAGGCCTCGCTGGCGGGCTCAATGTGCCCATAGACTGTGCCCGGCTGCAGTTGCTGCGAGGGATCATACAGTTGTTGTTGCTGCTGCTGCAGTTGCTGTGCCGCATTGGGAGCGTAGTCTGATGGCGCCGCATAAATATGGCTGCTCAGCGTTTGCTCATGACTCGGCTGTATTTGTGGCGGTGGCGGCGGCGGCTCATAGTATTCTGCCGGCTGTTGCTGCTGCTGCTGCAATTGCTGTTGCTGCAATTGCTGTTGCTGCTGCTGCTGCTGCTGCTGCAGCTGCTGCTCCTGCTGCGCCTCCTGCTCGCGCTGCATGGTATCCTCATATTGCATGTTTAGCTCGCGCATTTGCTTGCTCAAATCCACAAATTGCTGATCAATGTCGCTCTGTTGCTGCTGCTGTTGTTGCTGCTGTTCCTGTTGATGTTGCAACTGTTGCTCCTGCAGGGGCTGCCGAATGTAAATGCATTAGCAATTGTTTGTAATCGCAACAGCTGCAACACACTCACCTGATCAGCCAGCGTGCGCAGCTGACGCAGCCATTCCTTTTCCTCGGTGGCGCCTTGCGGTGCCGCTTGGCCGCCATTTGTGGCTGTTGGTGGACTGGCAAAGGAGACGCGATTGATCAGTATGGGATCGTGATAGCGCAAACGTTCCGCCAGACAGCAAACCTATCGGTCGACATACACGGAAAAATTATTATATAAACAATGCACACATCTATTTATATATGAACAGAACATACGCGCTGTATAAAATCACCATCATAGCTGTCCGGCTTGAGCTCAATGTGCTTGGCTATCTGCTCCAGATAGTTGGTGCAGCGAAAGTGTTGGCCATAGTCCAGGATGCGTGTCGCCAGCAGGAACTTGTAGTGCTGGAAGTTGACAATGCTGAACTTGTGATCGAACAGCGATCGCGCATATTCATAGATCTCCGTCATGATGATCGCCTCGTTGCTGGCAAACTCATTGAATGGCTTGTAGTGTGAGGCGCCCAGCAGGATCAACCTGTCCAAGAAGGAGAAGAAGAAGGAAACTTAGTTCAATAAGAAGAGCTTGTCATGCTAAGACCCTTCCGCTCACCTAGGCACATTGCCAGTCAGCGTGGTTAGCTCCGTGGCAGCGCTGTCATAGCGTCCGAACTCCTCCTGCGCAACCAGATAGCAAAAGTGTGCCGCATAGATGTCGCCGCGTTGAAAGAGAGTATCGCCCAGTGCGACGACAGAGCTGCGATCGTATTCCGGCTGGCGTGACTTGTTGGTCACCAATATAGAGAGATGGGAACGCCAGTCGCCCCACTGTTCGTCGCGCAGCTGACTGACGCAGGCGGGCGTATGACAGCTCTTCATTTGATAGAGCGTTTGCAGCGGATCGTTCGCTTTGATGGCGCGATTGAGAAACTTTTGTGCCACATCTGTGAGGGCATAACGATCCTCGTAGAGGGCCAAGAAGAACGCATGCGTCCACAGATTGTGATCGGTGGCCCATTGCAGTGCCTCCTCGACATTGCCGCGCAGCACATAGCTGCGAAACTGATCGGTTGCCGCCTGTTCCGACATGGGCGCATCTGCATCAGCATCTGGTTCAGTCTCTGCAGCAGCTGCACCGCCCGCTGCCACCGCCTCATCCGCATCCGAGTCGTTCAGGGGCTCGCCAGCGTGTACACGTGCATCCGCGGACTCGGCATCCGCCTCTGCGTCTGGTGCATAGGGATACTCGTGCTGATTCTCCAGCAACAGATCACCCACATCCGTATCGGCAATGACCTGGGTTTGGCAAATGAAAACGAGTTAAGACATGATTCGGCTTGGCTATTCGACAGTTCGACTCTTACCCCATTCTGTCGCAGCAACAGGATGAGCAGATGCCACATGAGGGTATGCGAGGCACGATACTTGTCCACGCTGCCCAGCGGCTTCTTCTGTGTGGCATACAGCACGGTGCAGGCACGTGCCGGACCCAAGCGTATCTGCTCCTTGCAGAAGCTAATGATCTTGTCCTTGTGCAGCTTGCGACCCTGCAGCGGACCAGGATAGGAGCGCAGCAAGCTGCTGGTGGCATCCTTAATGCGTGGCGCCGACACCTCCACATCGTTGCGCAGACGACCGCGTCCCGCGTACTTGGGACGGACGCGCAGCAGCAGACTCATCGAGTATGAGGCAACCAAATGTGGCCGATTGTAGAGCAGCGGTGTGCGACGCCTTGGTGGGCGTGCCACAGCCGTTGTTGTTGTCGTCGCAGTTGCATCCACATTGCCGGCAAATGTTGTTGCCACAGCACCAAGACCAACCGCAGCAGCCGCAGCTCTATCCGTTCGAATAGAAAGTGTGGAATAGATAGTTTAGAGATTAGTCGAGAGCTGGCAACTGGTTTCGAGATCTCAAGGCAAGCAAAATCAAAATCAAATTCAAGATCAAAAAATGTAATATCAAATAGATAATAGATCAAAATCAAATGCATGCAGAAATTGATGGACAAGGCGGGCCAAGATTTGGCAGCGGATTTACTGGGCATGGCTGTTAGAATGGGCAGAGTCAGTTAATATTCTTTATCTCATTGCCGAATAGTATAGACTAAAGCTTTGATGATAAGCACAAGCCATAAACGGAATTAACCTCAGTTATGTAAGAGATAAAATGTCAGATATAGTGAGTACGTAGATTGAGAGAATATTTATATATATATACATATATGTATATATAACCAACTCCAGTACCTGAGATACTAACTGTCCTAGAAGTGTAAACTTAATATACAATATAAATGAAAAGATTGTTCTCGAGCTGCCGCAGTTTAGTTGCCCTTGCAGACATATAAAAGAGCTATCGTTGCTTATAATTCTCAATTAGTTTTAGCCTCGAAAAGGGGATAAGCGCGTGCAAGCCTTGAGTTAGTAGCAAATTCTGCTAATAAGCAATAATCTGAAGTTTCTTTAAATAGCATTACATATATCTTGTTCCTGTTGGTTATAATAGTCTAAAAAAAATAACTCGATGCCGTCAGCTTTAAGTTAAAAGATCTGCAATCTATAACTTAACTCATAAACAAAAACTCGTAAATGTCAAGTTCATAGATAGTTAAATAAAAAACCTTTCGTTCACAGCGGCGCTTATATATGATATTGTAATCTAATCCCAATATGATTATAGTCCATGATTATTCTTTGAAAAACCTAATATTACAAGCTGTGGCGAAAAAACTCCGTTTTGGACGGATTATTCTTTCCTATGACAGGTATTTAGTATAGTGAAATTAAACGAATTCAACTAGAGATATATCTAGATATCTACAGATATATATTCTATTTATATACATGTATAAGCTATGTTCAAAGAGTCTTACTATCAAACACAAGAGTATGTACAACATTTAATATAAATAATATTCATACGCTTTCAAATTCGAAATAAGCCCAAAAAGGAATTCACACTGTTCTGCTTACATAGTATGTTAAATAGCTGTGCGCTGTTAATGACCCGCTGTTACTAACACTTTTATGTTATATACAATAACAAGATAGCTGTTAATTACAGTCAAAAGCCTTAAGATCAAGCCGTTTTTACACGTTATGCGTCTATTCGAAGCATAAAAAACCGGCAGCAGATAAAAGTTAACATTAACAGCGTCACATTAACATTGGTGGCTTTTATGAACAGCATTAGGCAACATTTTAGTAAGCGTTTAACAGCTTGTTCCTGTTAAGCAACTGACAGCCTAAAACGTATTCACAGCTCCTTAACAAATATTTATAAATTTGGGTAGATCTATTTTGGATTCTGTAAAAATTTGGAAATATTTTTTTAGGTCTGCTCCCCAATGTAATGATATATTTACACAGTTGATGTCAAAGCAGCGCAACTTACAGCGAAGGAATAGCAAAAGTTTTTCTTTTTTCGATATTTTGAATAGGACGAAACTGCGAAAAGGTAAAGTCATTGAAGCTCAAGATGGGAAAGCGAAAAAGTGTAGCACTTGATGGTATATAGATGTAAATGTGTGTGTTTGTGTATGTATATATGGGTTTACAAAAGACTTGGCACCATGTTGAGAGCATATTTAGGATAGAAGAGCCTATATGGAAAATGAATTTTGAATTTTGACATTGATTCTTAGGCCCTTGCAGTGGGTATTAAAATATTGTCTAGAGGTAAATAACGTATAGGTTCTTGATCAGCAATAAAATGCGAGCCATGTTCTTCTGCTTGACTCTCCCTCTCCCTCTCGCTCGCTCGCTCTCTCTCTCTCTCTCTCTCTCTCTCTTTATGTCAACTTGTTCCTTGGTTTTTTTATTGGAAAGTATCGGACCAGTATGTCATATAGCTGTCGCTGGGACTATCATTCAAAAATAGGGTTTTACTTTTATAAAAACCTTTAATTTTTACAAGAATTTCCCAGCCAAACTCCTGTTCCTGGGTTTTTTTTTATTGGAAAACTGAACTTTTTTGTCTGATGTTGTTTTTGGGTTCTTCAAGATTCCTGATTTATATATAATGTTTCTTTCATATAGGATCTTTCTATATATATAGCATATTCTATATGGAATGCATTGCTTGAAAGTCAGTTTTTTTTTTTAAGATATCTTAAGAAACCTGAGAAAAACCTAAGCGAATTCTGCTTTCTAAAAAATTCTAATATTAAAAGTGGACTACTTTATCGTGTACGATTAAAGTTCTGACATATTATTGAATATCACAGCTGCAAGGGTATTAAAACTTCGGCAAGCCGAAAAGTAGAAGAGATCTTTCTGGTTTTAGATGAGCTATGTATGAGTGAGTTTTTTGTTTTTGTTTTTTTTTTTTTTTTGTAGAGACCACCTGATATCAACGTTGCACTCCGAGCCAGCATAGTAACGCGCATATCCTGCGGAGGAGGCATCCTCACAGTTCAAATTGCTGAGCGAACGTGCACTCGAGATGCCATACGGAGCCAAGAGCCGGCGGCTGCTGTGGGTATCGCTGCCAAGGAGGCTGGCGCTGTCATCGCCCAGTGTCGAGTTCAACATATCCGTGTAGTTATGTTGTTGTTGTTGGTAGAGATTGAGCTGTTGTTGGCGACGACGATGGAATTCATTGGCTTGTGTTATGTATGCGTGTGTGTACCTAAAGAGGAAGCACATGGCGGCGTTTCGTGTATGTGTGTGTGTGTGTGTTGTTCGAGTTGTTTGTTGTTGTTGTTGTTAAAAACGAAACAGTTTGGTAAAACATTATTTGTTTGTTGTTGTTGTTGTTATTGTTGTTGCTGTTAGTAGCAGACACAGCCCAACAGCTTCGAGTAAGTTTTTGTACTGGTTTCAAGTAGTATTTTTTTTTTTTTTTTTTTTGAGGTTAGGGGAATTACACAAAGCGCAGCGAGCGAGTCGACAGAGGGCGAGCGAGGAGTATGGTAGATAGTCGGAGCGGGTGTGGGATGCGACACATAATTAATTACGCGGGGAATTTGATTAATCGCTAAGACAATTAAAACGACCAGAGGAAATTTGATATTATCATCATAGGAATTAGCTACAAATTAGGCTGGCAGCAGCGCTGTTAGCTTAATGTTAGCTCAGCATGTTAGTTAACATAACGAGTAAGCCAACCACTAAACGAAAACAGAGAGAGAGAGAGAGAGAGAGTGGGAGGGAGGGAGAGACAGAGCGGGCAACTCTGCAGCCGAGAGCGAGAGCGACCATCAGAGCAGATCAACGAGTAAGTTAGGTGAATTGAGTTGAATTGAGGTAAGGATAAGTAGCTACGACATCATGCCCAAGAAGTTGTGAGAATTAACAAACAACAAAAAAGTATAAACAAGTAAAAGTAACGAGTAACAGTAACGAGTAAAAGTAACGAGTAACGAGCATTTACTTCGGTAAAGCCGAAGAGCAACTCTGCAGAAGTGAGCATATTAATTAAAACACAATTATCTACAATTTTATATTTAGTCTAGTCTTAAGACAACAGTTCCAAAACGTTATGAATGGTTGGTATTTGTGAAATACGTCTATTTAGAATATCTCAAGATGTACTATTTAAACTTAAGTCAACTTTTGCCTGGGGGAATAATGGAATGAAACAGTTGTATATGCGAAATTATCCGAAAACGTTTGCAAATGGTTCAAAATTTAATATGTAATTATGGCTTATATCGTAAAACGGGTTCGTTTTAAAATTTTGAGTCTTTTTTTGGTCTGGTTTTGCGGCCGGAATGGTGGAATGAAACAGAAGCTAACCTAAAAACAGTCGCAAATGCAGAAGAACTGAAGTTCTAAGAAATTTTAATTGCAATGTCAATTCGGTCGTATATTTAAATAAAAGATCTCTTGATTGGAACATTTTCTTTTACAGGGGGTGCAAAAAAGAAGGATATACCATGAAACACTCTTCGAATATTTCTAGTGCTTCTTTCCAATCTGTGACCTAATTGCATTTGTTAATCGAATATTAATAGGTGCAAGTTGAATTATATTATATATCATTTTCATATGTTGCATTTCCATTTGTTCCATTGGGTTTTTTTTATGAGATTAAGAGACTTTGTGACTGGAAACGATGTGTGTGCCCATGAATTAATAGATAGCAGCTAAGCAACTAATGAACTAATTTAATAAACCAACTCAAGAAATGCTACACAATCTGCAAAGTTAGCGTTTGGGAGTTGCTGTTTTTCTGTTTTTTTCTTTTTGGCTTACCTTTCACGTTCCCTGAGCAGAGCTGCCTCATCCACGCCGGCAACCGGTGCGCCCAACTGATGGGCCTGCGTCTGCAATTGTGGCACCGCCTTCGATGCGGCCGCAGCGTTAACGGCCGCCGTCATTGAGTTAATCATCTGGCCGTACAGCTTGGCGTACATGTCCGCGTAGGCGTGCGGATTGCGCGACATCTGCTCGTACATGCCGTAGGGATCATAGCTGGCCGCGGCATTTGCATATTGATCGTAGTTGTTGCGACGTTTGCCGCCGCTGCTGCTGCCGGCGGCGCCGGCTCCGTTGAGTAGCTCCTTGTCCATGTCGCTGTTGCGGGAGCTCTTGTTGCGATAGCCCTCGTATTGGCGGGCATCCCAGTGCTGTTGCCAGTCCGGATGATGTGAGCGCGTCCGTTCGCTGCCCTCGTGACTGCGCCGGCTGCCGCGCGGCTTTTCGTGTGATTGCTGATGCGACTGCGGTTGCTGTTTGTCGCGACGTGGCCGATAATGGCTGCCGCCACGTGGCGCCGATTGCTGTTCATAGTCCTCGTAATCATCGTCAGCGGCACCGCTGCGTCTTTGCCGGCTTGCCTTGCTGTTTCGTCCGCCCCCACCGCCGCCGCCACCGCCGCCGCCATCGCTGGCTGCCGCTTGACCGGCTGCCAGTTCGGCTGCATCCGACTCGCCATCATAGTTGCTGTTGCTGTTGTTGTTGTTGCTGTAGCGCGTGGACCGTCCGTATTGCTGGTCGTCGCGTCGCCAGCGATTGCGTTCCCGGTCTCGCTCACGTTCCCTTTCACGTTCACGTTCACGTTCGCGTTCCCGTTCGCGTTCCCGCTCCCTTTCGCTGCGCTCGCGTCCCGTGCGCTCCGGTTCATGTCTTCGCTGATTGTCCGCATCGCGACTGCGTCGCTTTGCATCGCGCGTCGATTTACTGCTGCTGTGGCTGTCATTGTGGGCAGTGTGAGCAGCGCTGCCAACGCCACCGGCAGCAACGCCGCCGCGCACCGAATCCTCCGTTTCGCCCTCGTAGTTGTTGTTGCTGTTGCTGTGGCGCCGGCTGCCGCGCAGACTGCGCATGCTGCGCTCGTCCGGCTGCTGGCGGCGCGGCGGCGGATCATGCCTATCGCTCAGCAGCCACTCGTCCTCGGACTCATCCTCCGACTCCAGATCCAGTGAGGCAACTGGACGCGGTTTGCCACGCGGCTGTTTCTTGTCAAGCGGCGTTTGCTGCTGCTGCTGCTGCAGCAGCTGCTGTTGAGTTGGCAGCGAGGAGTTTGCCTCGTTCTCGTCGTTGCTTATGTGATGTTGTTGATGTGACTCGGTGTCCAGATCGACGGCAGCAGCTGCTCCTGTTGCCACGCCGGTTGCGTGTGTTGTCGTCGCTGTTGCTGCTGGCACCGACAGCGGCGCCGGCGGCATCGTTGGCCGATGATCCTCCAGATTCTCGCCATCCAAGACCACCTCGCGTTGTTCCCCAGATAGCACCACAGTGGCTTGGGTCTCCACGCCAGTCACTACGCGACGCGGCGGCGTCTGCTGCTGCTGCTGTTGTTGCTGCTGCTGTTGTTGTTGCTGCTGCTGCAGCTGCTGTTGCTGCTGGTAGAGATCATTGCGCGTCGGCTGTTCACCCTCGGAGGTATCCTCACCATCGGCCTGACGCTCAGCCATGTGCAGCGCATTGGCCACACGACTGTGCGGCTGCTCGGTGCCGGTGACCAGACGTTGCTGCTCTACCAGCTCCGGCTGACCGAGCACCAGACGTGACAGTCCCGGCGGCGGGAACAGTCCATCTGCCTCCCAGTTGCCCTCGTTAACCTCCTCGGGCTGCTCGGATAGGTGACTGGTCTGCAGATACTGAGCACGCTCATCATTTGGCGCCGCCAGCAATACCTCCTGATTCTCATACGGCTGCTGTTCCGGATTCGGTTCGGGCAGCAACATCTGCACAGGCGCTACGGCAGCCACGGCGGGCACACTTGGCGCTGATGGTGGTGGTGGTGGTGCGGCTGCTGCTACTGTGCCTGGCGTAGCCAAAATATTCACGCGCTTGCTGAGTCCTCCAGCGCGTTTGAAGGGATTTCCCGCAGCAGTCTCCATTGCGGGCGGCGGCAGAACGGGAGCCGCTGCCGAAGCAGCTGCTGGTGGAAGTGGTGCTGCCGCTGGAGGAGGAGCTGCCTGTGCTGGTGGTGGTAATGTAACTGCCGCTGGAGGAGGACCTGCTGCTGCGGCTGGTGGTGGCTGATTTTGAAAAGCCTGCGGCGGCACAATAGCATTCAATTCCGGCTCGGACACTGGCGACAACTGTTCCGTGGCGGGCGACAGCAAAGGCGGCAGTTCCAGCGATTTGCCGGATTCCGGATTATTGTTGTTGTTGTTGTTGCTGCTGCCGCTGATGTTGGTGTTCCTGTTGTTGCTGTTGTTGCTAAACGCGTGCCAGCTGCTTTGGCCCTGCACATTGAAGGAATCCTCGACTACGCTGGCTAGCGGCGCCGCCTCGCTATGGTTCATGATGCTGCTGCCGTTGTTGTTGCTATTGTTGTTATTGTTGTTGTGGTTGCTGCCATCATTCCAATCGCCCCAATCACCCCAGCCATCGTTTTTGCCACTGTTATTATTGTCCACGACCTCGACAGCTGGCAGCTGCGCCTGCGGCTCCACTTGCCCTGGCGCTGGCTGATAAAATTGCTGCGCGGACATGGCCGGTGCATAGGACAGCGACGCGGGAGGCGCATATCCCAGCGGCGGCGGCGGAGCTGTGCCGGCAAAGTCGTGATAGCTGAGGGTCGTCGACTGCTCCACTGGCCAATATGCTGGCTGAGCCGGCTGCGCCTGAGGCTGCTGAAACATTTGGCTAGCATATAGCTGCGGTTGCGACTGTTGCGTAGCTTGCGGAACTTGAGCGTGATGTAGCGAAGGTGCCTGCTGCTGTTGCTGTTGTGGCTGTTGCAGTTGCTGCTGCTGTTGCAGCTGCTGTTGCTGCAATTGCTGTTGCTGCTGAGGCGGCGGCAGCCAGTTGGCATTATTGTGCAACATGTTGTCGCAGTGCGTTAGCTTGGCAAACTGTAAAAAACCCAAAACAAAAAAAAGGAATAGTTAAATTTTGGCACTTAAGAAAAACAATTGCCATATCCCTTAAATACGCTGCCATTTGTTGCTCAAGCACTTTCGACCTGTCTGGCAACGTACAAACTGTTGTGTTTCTTGTTTTTGAGCCTGCCAGGCGCCCATTCAAGTATTTACAGTTATTTTGCCCGTGTGTTTATGTGTGTGGGCTTTAGCAGAGTTGCCACACAGCTTTCAGGTGACAGCTGTGCTCAATTCGACTTGGACTAAGAAAACAAAATGCAGCAAACGCAACGATACCTGAGCCTTGTCAACGTTTTCATTCTGATTGATAATTATTTGCAAATCTGAATTGGTTTTCGCAGCCAGCTGCATGCTCTGGGCGCGTTGCTTCAACCATGACATGTTTTTTTTTCTGGCTTTTTGGGTCTACGGACTGATTGCAAATTAGTTTGGCTTTTGACAAACAAAATAATAAAGAAAGAAAAAACGAATCAAGTCAACTTATATGTACTTGCCAATTTCTTATACCTCGCTTCGTTTTTCTAATTTCTTTCCTCTCTTTCTTCTTTCTTTTATTATTGTGTACACTTTTGTATAATCCGACAATGACAATGGCAGCAACAGCGGCAGCAACAATAACCACGCTGAGCTAAAAGTTTACGTGGACGTTTGCTGTGCTCGCCCCTATACCCGCTTACTGCCCATCACACACACACACAACACGCACACAATCTTTTTCGTCGTTTTTGTTACCACCGTTTCGCTCTGGTATTTGTTGTTATTGTGCTGCTTGACACAGCAGGTTTTTTGTAGTTGTTCGGCTGCGGCGTTTTGCATTTCATAAGCAGCGAGTATACTTTACACTTGCATTTTTATAATTTTAATAACTATATGTATTAATTACTTGTTTATCGAGAGTTTTTCTTATTAATTTTTTCCCCTACGTCAGACGTTCAGTCAAAAGTGAAAACAGCCAAATTGGAGCAGTGGTTGTAGGCCTGACAGGCAGTGGGAGAGAGAGCGAACGAACGAAATAGAGAGCAACGTTGCCAGAGAGCAAGTAAAGTTTCAGGCGAACTGCAAAAACAAATAGTACGCACACACACAGGGTTGTTACCGCTGAAATGTAATTGCAGCAAGTGCCCCGGGTGGTGGAGGAGGGGGTGGGGTTGCTGACACTTGCAGATAATTTCGCATAATTGGGCATAAAGCAGCTGATTAGCCGATAGGCGCCTGTCCATCAAATTTGTAAAAATAACAACAGCGGAATCCGTTCATGAGCCAACAGAAAAATACACACACACACGGGCCCCATTCTCACGCACATCAACACAAATACAAGGTGTCAGTACTGTGCTTTTCTGTTTTTTGCTGTTGCCCAATTTCTAATACTTGTATGATTACAAACACTTACACGAAACTGTTTTTTAATTACGCGTACTTGAAATGTGTTACCATTTACTTATTTAATAATTTTAATGCGGTTGGGTTATTTCTTTGATTAAATTGAATTTTTCGAGTACAAATGCCAACTCGACTTTTCGCAAGCGTTGCCAGTCTGTTAGCGCAACACTGATTCTTTTAACTACCAGTAAAGCAGAATGTTAAACAACAGCTGCTAAGCCTTACGCAAATCGGTCACACAGTTTTTAACAGCTCTGGCCGCGATGCTTGGCTCTGCACAATATAAGAAAGAGTGTAACTGCCCGTGGCAAATGAGAAAATACCAAATAAAATATGGAAAATACTAAAAATAATCGCGATTCGTCTTGAGCATAAAGTGGATATTTTTTTGTTAAGCGCATATGGTCACTAAAACGTGCTTTCCATCTTTGAATAGTCAAGTTGTATTTATATTTTATATTTAACTATAATGGGTAAAAAGGACAAGAATAAGAAAAAAGGCAAAGGCGCCGAGAAGACAGCAATGAAAACCGACAAAAAGCTGGCAGCCAAACAAAAGAAAATGCTGGAAAAACTTGGAGAGGTAAGGCACGTTTTATTCGCCCCGGCAAAGTTCTCACACGATTTTCCCCATTTACAGGCGGATATAGCGGAAATTGTAAAGAAACTGGAAAATCAGGAGCAGAGTATAAAGGCGATAACCGAGGAGGTATGCGCACCACCAACGCCACGCTCCAATTTCTCGCTGGTAACACATCCCGAAAAGGAAGAGCTAATCATGTTCGGCGGCGAGCTATACAACGGCGCCAAAGTCTCCGTATATAACGATATGTTCTTCTATAATATACCACGGAACGAGTGGAAACAGCTGCGTTCGCCATCGGGCCCAACGCCGCGCAGTGGCCATCAAATGGTCGCCGTTGCCACCGATGGCGGCCAATTGTGGGTAAATATCAACAAGAAGATCAGTTCGCATGATCTTTATATATAACGTATGGAAATTGTTTGTCTGTAAGAGCTTGGGAATATGACTATGAGCATGGCCATGAAACCACATCCGCTAATTTGTACAGAACCTAAATCATTGTGTTTATCCACTTTGCAGTTGTTTGGCGGCGAGCATGCCAGTCCCTCGCAGCTGCAGTTTTATCACTACAAGGATCTCTGGTCGATGAGCCTGAAGACGCGACAGTGGTCCAAGATCGCGGCACCCAATGGCCCCAGTGCGCGTAGCGGCCATCGCATGGTCGCTGCCAAGAAGCGTCTGTTCATCTTTGGCGGCTTTCATGATAACAACCAATCCTATCACTACTATAACGATGTGCATGTCTTCTCCCTGGAGTCGTACGAGTGGCTAAAAATCGAAATCGCTGGCACAATTGCGCCGGCTGTGCGTTCCGGCTGTTGCATTGCCGCCGCACCGGATGGCAAAATCTTCGTTTGGGGCGGTTACGCGAGAACTTCAATGAAGAAGGATCTGGATCGTGGCATCACGCACACGGATATGTTTGCGCTCGATGTGGACAGTAAGCTGGTTCTTTATGCTTTATGTATATTTCATTTGTTGATGCTATCCAATTTTTTAATTCCAGAGACCGGCTCCGGCAACAAGTACAAATGGACAACTGTCAAAGCTGGCGGTTATCGTCCGAAGCCGCGAAACAGCGTCGGCTGCACCGTGGCACCAAATGGCAAGGCGTATTGCTTTGGCGGCGTGATGGACGTCAACGAGGATGACGAGAATGTCCAGGGCCAGTTCGGCGACGAGCTGCTGGCCTTTGATCTGACCTCACAGTCGTGGCGTCTGCTTGAGGTGGCTGCCAAGACCAAGGCCAGCAGCAAGCGGGACAACGAAAAGTCCAACGATATTGAAATGGCCGGAGATGCGGCGCCCGCTGAAAAGACTGTGACCACCACCACAGATGGCATTTTTACGGTTACCGTTGGTGGACCCGGCTCCAGTCAAGCATCCTCGTCCTATGTGTCCAATATACCCAGTCTGTTTCCTGCTACCCAGCACAGACGCACAGATGTGCCCTCGCCGCGCATGAATCCCGGCCTGTGCGTTTGCAAAGGCATTTTGTATCTATTGGGCGGCCTCTACGAGGAGGATGAGAAACAGCACACGCTTAACGATTTGTATGCGCTAGACTTACATAAGCTGGATCAGTGGAAGGTTATCATAGCTGGCAATCAGAAGGCACACGATTGGATTGATGACACCGAGAGCAGCAGCTCCGGCGAGGAGTGCTCCGACGAAGACGACGACGACGACGACGATGATGATGACGATGATGGCGATTCGGATATGGACACGGATTGATTAATTAAAACTAAGAGCTGTAATTTCAATAAATACGAAATTGTTTGTAAAACTATAAAAGGTTTATGAAAACTGGTTACATTTTTTAGTTATTTATATTGTTTTATTTATGTTTTGTTGTGAAAATCATTTGAGCAAGTTTTTGTTTTGAAATCCAGGCTAGTTTATAGATGAAGCGTTGCCTTATCCGAACGCTTATTATTTATAGCAATATCCTATTCTACAATTGATGAAAGCATTTAAAAAAAAATTTGGCGCCCGGTTTTCTACATCTTAATTTGAATTAGGCTATTTTTTAGATTATTTGCAGAGGTTTTTAAATATGTTTTAACACATATCAAATTGTCAAAAAATCTCAGTATTTTTAAGAAACAAAATTCGATACAGTATATTTGATGGTATTTAATACTTAATAAAAAATATCGTGTATTAACAAAAAAAAAATACACAAAATATAATTATACTAAAACATGCAAAAAATGTCTTCTGGTATTTAATAACCTAAAGCGATTAAGGCTGAAAAAGGAATGTGCTTAAAGCGTTCCAACGAGCAATATAAAATACTTAATTGTACAATAAATACTTAATTGCAATATAAAATACTTATAAAATAACTGAATTCGCTTAAGACAAAATTTAAAATACAAAAAATGGCTTTAAAGTAGTCTTTTGCAAATTTAAGTAAATTAAATATTAATATATTATTTGCCTAGCTAAGTAAATCTTGAAATTTTGCTAACTACCAAAACCGCAATTAATGTCGGTATTAAATACTCTTAAGCGCTTAAGTTGGCTAAAAAATACCAAATGCGTATTTAAAGCGTGGCAATCAGCATTTGTCAAGCACTCACCCGACCTGTGTGCATGCATGTGCGTGTAGGTGTGAGTGAGTGAGTGTACGTGTGTGTGTGTGTGTGTGTGTGGATGGGCATGTGCCTCTGCTGGTGCTGGTGTTGGCGTGCATTAGTGTATGCGTGCGTGCGTGCGTGCGTGTGTGTGTGTGTGTGTGTGTGTGTTATTATTATTGTTAAGGTTAACCAACAAGTTAGTTAAATGCTTAAGAGCTTGCGTATTTAGTTAATTTTATAAGTTAAGTGCAACGGACATAAGCTACAGATGCTGCGCCTACTCCTAACCAACTGCAGTCGCGGCGATATGCTCAGGTAAAGCACGGCAGGGCAGCGCAACGCCAGAAGCCACCCCAACCCCCCCCCCTCGACCCACAGCCACATAAGACACGCATGGCTTGTGCGAAGAGTGCGGTGGAAAAGGGGAGGGGCGGGGCGGGGCGCCCTCAGCCGCGTTAACTAATGATAAAAAAGGTTGCCCTTTTTGGCTGGCCTCTGATTATGTCATCGCTTCTCTCTGACTCTTCTAGCCGCAGCCTGTTGCAGCAGCTGCCGCAGTCGCAGCTCGGGCCGCGGCTGCAGAATGCCAGTCGCTTGATGCGCCAGCATCAACACATGTGGCGGCCACATGGATCGCCCAGCAGTGGCAGCTGCCGGGCCAAGCTGCAGACGTGCCGAGCGCTGCTCTGGGGCGGCGCCACTCTGGGCGTGGGCGTGGCCATGCGCGGCTGGTGGACGTCGCGATCGCTGGTCGCCCACTGTGAGGGCAATCGGCTGGCGGGCGTCATACAGCACACACTGGAGCAGGAGGATCAGAGCTTTGACTGGCGGCGTCTGTGGACATATCTGGAGCCGCACACCTGGGAGCTAATAGGCGCCGTTCTGGTAAGTCAAGTGGGCTCTCCGAGCTGCCATTCGATCCATACGATTCACTGCATCCGCACACTTTGCAGGCGGCGCTGATTGTGGCCTTCATCAATATACGTATACCCAATCTGCTGGGGGATCTGGTGAACACGCTGGCGCGCTATGCCAATACGTATGTGATGGATCCCATCAACAACTCCTTTGTCAAGGATGTGAGCAAGCCGGCCAGCAATTTGCTGAGTCTGTATCTGCTGCAGTCGGGCTTCACCTTTGTCTACATCTATTTGCTGAGTCGCGTGGGCGAACAGATGGCCGCCAGGATGCGTCAGGATCTGTTCAAGCAAATCGTCCTGCAGGACATCTCGTTTTTCGATGAGAACCGCACAGGCGAGCTGGTGAACCGCCTGACCGCCGACGTCCAGGACTTCAAGACCTCGTTCAAGCAATTCGTCGCCCACGGCCTGCGCAGCTCCGCCCAGCTAATTGGCGGCAGCGTCTCCCTGTTCATGATCTCGCCACATATGGCGGCCATAGCGCTGGCCAGTGTCCCGTGCGTGGTCATGTTCATGTCCTATCTGGGACGCAAGCTGCGCGCGCTCAGCAAAAACTCGCAGGCTCAGGTGCGTAAAGATTGCCCTAACCCAAAACCCAAAACCCAATTAATAATTCATCTAATTCTCGTTGTGTAGACGGAGCGAGCGACGGGCGTCTGCGAGGAGGCCTTGTCCAATATACGGACCGTGCGCTCCAGCGCCTGCGAGTACCGGGAGATGCAGCTGTTCGAGCAGGAAACGAACGAGGCAGCACGCCTGGCCCAGGAGCTGGGCTATGGCATCGCTGTCTTCCAGGGCCTGACCAACTTTTTCCTCAACACACTTGTGCTCTCCACGCTCTTCATGGGCGGCCATCTGATGTCCACGGAGAGCCTAACGCCCGGCGCCCTGATGGCATTCCTCGTGGCCTCGCAGGGTGTGCAGCGCTCGCTCTCGCAGGGCTCCATCCTGCTGGGCACCATGATACGCGGCATGACGGCCGGCAGCCGGGTCTTCGAGTTCCTTTCGCTGCAGCCGAAGGTGGAGCTGTTGCGCGGCTATATCATACCGCCGGAGCGTCTGCATGGCGAGATCCGCTTCGAGAACGTGTCCTTTGCGTATCCGATGCGACCAGATCATGTGAGTGTGTACGCCTGCTGTGTGCCTCTCCAGCCTCGCCAGCCTCTCCAGCGTCTCCAGCTTAATGGCTCCGCTTCTCCCACAGATCGTGCTGAAGGACTTCAATCTGACGCTGCGTCCCGGCCAGACCGTGGCGCTGGTGGGCGCCAGCGGTTCCGGCAAATCCACAATAGCCGCACTCCTCGAACGCTTCTATGAACCCACCTCCGGCAACATCAAGCTGGACGGCTATAAGCTGTCGGACATCTCGCCGTTTTGGCTGCGCGCCAATGTCCTGGGCTTCATCGAGCAGCAGCCAATTCTCTTTGGCACCAGCATCTTGGAGAATGTGCGCTACGGCAAACCGGATGCCAGCCAAACGGATGTCTATGATGCCTCCAAGCTGGCCCAATCCCATGACTTTGTCACTGCCCTGCCCGATGGCTACAATACCCATGTGGGCGAGCGCGGCACCCAGCTGAGCGGCGGCCAGCGGCAGCGCATCGCGATTGCCCGGGCGCTGGTCAAGAATCCGCGCATCCTCATACTGGACGAGGCGACCAGTGCGCTGGATGCCACCAGCGAATCGGAGGTGCAAAAGGCCCTGGACACTGCCGTACAGGATCGCACCACATTGGTCATTGCGCACAGGCTGTCCACGATACGCAATGCGGATCTGATTGTGGTCATGGATCAGGGACGCGTTGTCGAGGTTAGTTAAGGAGGCAACCCATTCAAAATGGATCGGACATATCTTAAAGATGAATATAGCTGCAGCTCGGCGCTGGGTACAGGGTATATGCTGGTCGAGCATACCTGACTAGCGCACTCTGTTAATGCCTGTCACTAAGCTATGTTCTTTGTTTTCTGTAGACGGGCAAGCATGATGAGCTGATGGCCAGACGTGGACTGTACTTCGAGCTAGTGCGTCAGCAGGAGCGACGCGAGAACCAGGACCAAGGGCACACCGTCGTGGAGGAGGGGAGCCCGCCGCAGGCTGCGGCGCCACAGAACACAGTACAATAATAATACGAAACGATAGAACATATTAACACATAACGTATATGCATATGATTCCCTGTACATACATTTTATTTATTTAATTGTTGGCTCGCCTAAGGGAGAATTTGTAAAAAAAATTTATTTGACAGAGCGAACGAATTCGTTGAGATAATTTAGGTAAATGGAACAGCTGGTGTTCATGTTAAATAAAAGCAAAACAAATATATTGTTTTTAGATACATAAACAATGAAGGCGTATTTTAATTTGCCAGTTTCTCAGCTAAAAACTGAAGTTCTCAAGCAACCACAAAAAAATAACGTTAATTTAATTCTATAATTGAATCTATTCAAAAAGTGTGGTATTTGTGGTATTCATCGCATTGGTTTGTTTTGGTATTAACGCGATTGTGGATTTTCGCATACGACGCTCGCGGTCACACTGAACACTAACGCTAGTCTCATTTTGGTTTTTTTTTTTAAACAAATGCATTTGTTTTTTATTTTCGAACTGTGTGGAGTAATACAAGTGCCCAAACGTGCGAACGCTTGTGGAAAATGGTGTGAGGACGAATGCAAGCAAATTTTACGATGTGCGTTAAACAGCAGCATCAAAATATAAGATAAAATTATGTAAGTGTGCAAGTGTGTGTGTCTTGTTTGTTGTCTGTGTGCGTGTGTGTGTGTTTCTGTGTACATGTGTATAGTTTTGGCAGTAACAACTATTAGTAAGAATGCAACAACAACAACAACAATAGCCTAAACAACAATAGCACAAGCTTGCCATTTGCTAATGCTGATGTCGTTGTTGTTCCCGTTCCCCCACACACATTTCAATCAACATTCAACTGTGTTTTGCGCTTTTTGTATATACATATATGTCGTGTGTGCGTGCGTGTGTGTGTGTGAGCGCGCGCGCGCGTGTTTGTGTTTGTGCATTCGTCATTTTGTGTATGTTATTTATATTTTTTTATCTGTGCATAACAATACAGCTGCGTCAGCTGCTTGCTTCATTAGTTATATTAAGCACTGATACTATTGCTAAAAACATATGCAATCAAATGTTGTTGTTGTGCAAGAATAAGTCACACCATTTCTCAGGGTCAATGCTGCCAATAACAATAGATTCCCATCCCCCACCCCCGCAATCCGTCAACCGTATCCCGAATTCCCATAGAGTTGAGCGCTGCAGTTC